ATTATTCTCAAAAAGTTTTATAATCATAAAAAACAGTGAGTAAGAAATCATTGAAGAATGTAATTGCTTTTATACAGCGTTTTTGGCAATTTAAGGAAGAAAACACCTGAAATAGTAGATTATTGTTTGTTAATGTTGACACAATTAAAAATAATATAAATTATATAGTTTATGATTAATACAAGTTCTCTGTTTTCAATAATGTGAAGATCGAATCTCCTCCTACCAAAATGATTCATGAATATCGTAAGCATGTGAAAAAAAAAAATTTGTTTGATGCTAGAGCATGATTATAGGTAGTAAATATGATTGGAGTAATATATAAATTTTATAGTATTAATTGTATTGGGATTGATGAATAGAAAAAGAAAAAAGAGAGAGATAGAGAAATGTTATATTTATCCACTAAATATGGGTAATATAGATTATATATATAGAAACCCAAAAATAGTTTGGATAAATATAAGAATTTTATAATATTAAAAATCTCTTATATTTACTTTTATTTACCACCCATAATTACAATGAGCCTCATCATGTAACAAGCATTATACAATATGAACAAAAATAATGCCGATGATGTCTGTCTTAAGGTATGTGTTTAAAACGGCATCGTTTTGAGGGTTTTAACTTCTGATGATGAAATGGAAGAAGAGAGAGAGAAAGAGAAGTGGTAGTGCAATATTAGCTCTCAGCTAAAGCTGGAAAGTATTTATCAGTAAAACAGAAGTAATCGGTTTTTTTTTTGGAGGATTAATAGAGCTTATCACAACGAACTCTTGAACCATTTCTTCTTAAGTTTTTCACTAGCGTGGAAGAGACAGAGAGATAGGAAACGTAGAGAAATTACAATATGGAGCAAGCCTTTTGTGCTTTGCTCTTCTTTTTCTTCTGCTTTGGAGGTTGAAGAACCACTCTGATCGCTGCATCAAACACTCCCTTCACGTTCTGCATTTCAATCAAATAACAGTTTCAAAGCTTAAGTAAAGGGGCAAAAACTCATGTAATATTCAATTCATGATTTTAACAAATGACAAGTTTGTTCTTTCTTGCCTCCTGTGTTTTTGAACTGCACTCGATGTATGCAGGAGCTCCAATTAGCTTCCTTAGTTCCTCTCCCTTTGATGCCCAATGTGGGGAATGGGTTAAGAGGGTTTACTCGTAAGTACCAAGCGGAGTATATTGAGACGTATTGAAATAGAATTTTCTGTTTACCTGAGCAGTGGTAATAGGTACAGCACCAGGGTGGTCAATGAAGAACTGTTTGTCATCCCGAAGATCTGGCCACATATGATGAACACAAAGCATAAGCAGCAGACGAAAGTCGAACAGTAAGAAAAGGTCTAGGTGGATCAGCAAGCAGGAATCCAATTGTGACAGAAGCTCTTGTTATTTGAAACTGTTATTTGATTGCTTATCCTATAGGTTTATAATTGTTATATTTAGACATCCAACAGCTGCTTACATGCATGTGGTTGTCTTTGACAATATAGTGTGAGATACGAGAAACCATTTGACCCACAAAGTATCCAAAGTTCATTAAAGCAGAAAGAAGAAACATAATAGACGAGCTTCTATCCCTAGCGGAAAACCATGCTCGATGTCCATTATATCAAAAATGCTAAGAAATTATAAATGGATATATCTTGGACGTGAACAAACCAAAACAGAACCAACAAATGTAAGGTAGTGTCATAACTATCAAGAGAAGCTTAAGCAATGAGGAGAGTGCTGACTGACTCGTGATTACGACACAAAAGGAATCAAGCACACATATACGCATCAAAACAAACGTAAAAACATTAACTTACCTAGTTTGGTTCCCACAAGAACTATTGGGACACCAGGAGCATAGTGCTTCAGCTCTGGAATCCACTGCAAACAACCGATAAAAAAAGCATCGAAAAATCACAACCAAAAAGACTTTTTATATTCAGTTTCCATCTCAAAACTTCAATCAAAACAAGAACGCACGAACCTTCTTCGACACATTCTCGTAACTAGCCTTACTGATGAGAGAAAACGCTAAGATGAAAACATCAGCACCGCGGTAACTCAACGGTCTTAATCTGTTATAATCTTCCTGCCCTGTTAACAACAAAAACAAAGTTCATACACATAGCTTATCTGCTTATACTAAGTAAGGTAAGATTCAACATAATCTTCACAGTACCTGCAGTATCCCACAATCCCAGGTTCACAGTACTCCCATTAACAACCACATTTGCGCTAAAGTTATCGAAAACAGTCGGAACGTAATCCTGTAACCACAAAATCCTCAATTATACACAAAGGCCAAGATCCAATCATCATCAATCAAACAAAAGTGTACATGAATCGATTTATAAAACGAAGAAGATTGTGTTATGTACCGTAGGAAAAGTGTTGCTGGTGTAAGAAATCAGTAAACAGGTTTTACCAACAGCTCCATCACCAACGGTCACGCACTTTATGAACCTCGAAGCGCTCATTTCCTTTTTTCTCCTCCAGATTCTTTACCAGAATTGGAGCTTCACCTCGAAATCTAACCTCAGATCTATACGCTTGAGGAAACAACGGAGAAAAATCCACTCGAAATGGAAACAAAATTCGTCCTACGGGTACAAAGAAAAACCCTATAAATGTTAAAATAGGAAACCCTAAACGGAAGAGGGAATC